TCGTGACTGAGCTGAATTGGTCTTGGAAGGGCACTGCTCCTGGTGGAAGGCAAYWCTMGTGAATAAGGCACATTGTACTSCCACTGTCTAAAAGAACTTTGAATGTTTGCATTGTTGGTAGGCCTTGGATGGCTTTACAGACAAGTATAACTGTTGGTAGTACATCTGGTGTTGGCTTCAGAGCTCTTAAGGTGACTGCTGTTGGATTCTTAAGAGCTTCTTCATTATCAAGGCCATAGAATTCAAAGCTCTCTTCAGGTGATTGAGTGGATGGTGTTGGAGGCAATGCAAAGAAGGCCTCTTTYGGTGCATTCGGATGTCACCACTGTTGATTTGGTCCTTGCCCTTGGAATCAGACTGTCGATCCTGCGTTGCTATTGGACTGTAATGATACATGGCTTGGAGGGCCTCCACTGGAGTTAGAGCCGGTAAGCTGATAGTTTTGAGGTTGAATTGTTTGTGGTTGGAAGTTGCTCATATTCCCATGTTCATCCATTATGCATGAATAGGCTCCCGGCACAAATCTCTTATTGTTGTTDCTGCCTGTATTTGAATTTCCTTGACTCCTCTGATTTCCCTTGTAATTGTTGTTACTCCAATTATTACCTTGGTAATTGTTACCTTTCTTATTGAATGGACATTCGCCCCAAAGGTGTTCTCCATTGTGTTTATTGCAGGGCTGTGCATTGATCCTACTCTGTCTTTCTTCCGGGGTCTCATTCTGTCTGTTGTTTCTATTATTGTTACTGTTGTTGCCGTGTCTCCTTTGTTTCCCATTATTCCTTCCTCCGTGTTTTGCATTAGTGTCATCTGMTGGCCTCTTCTTAGATCGTTGTTGCTCCTCATCTGCAATTCCTTTTTGCTCTGTCRTGTACTGTAYRATTTGCTCAATGTTGTCATTGAGGATGTCCTCTCTTCCACATCTGATGTAGTCATTCTGCCACGGTTTGGGAAAGGATCTAAAAAGAATCTGTTTGATCTCTCTGTCTGATAGTAAAGGTTGCCGGATGCCATGAAGGATGTTTGCTCTGGTGCATAGGGTTTCAACTCTGTCTGCATGGGCCTGGCAGGAACTGGAGTGGGACTTTCTGATAGCTTCTGATTGCAAGTATTCCACAGCTTCATCACGGGCTCTCTTAGATGGTGCATAAAACTTCCTGAAGGTGAGCAGGGCTGTCCTCCACTGTTGCAAATTAGTTCTTGGTACGTCCGCRAGCCTGTTGTTGTTCCACATGCTGTTCCATTTCTGTCTGGGTTTGTGTGCTAGGACCATTTGCCACTTCTTATCTATCTCATCCTCCGGTAGTTCCAAATCCTTTATTGCATCTTCAAAGTCTTCCTGTACATGAAATAGTTCCTGTACTCCATGCTCACCGGAGAAGCTTAAACAATTCCTAGTTAGCTTTCTTGCTGGGCATTGAAGGTTCACAGTGAGGGAGACTGTCTTCAGCTGGCTCTCATCGAAATTGTTTGTTAGGCTGAGACAGGATCGATGTGTATTTTGTCGATGTTTGGTAGAGGATTTGGTGTTCTTATTTGGTTTCACCWTGGTCGATTGATTTATTTGGTTGTTTTTGTTAATGGATGATTAATTTTGATACACRAAAATCAAGTAGTAATTACTGTGCACGAAATACGTGTACTCTTAGTATGTTTAAGTGTGTATGAAAACTGAAATTATAAGATTAGAAATTATTCRAAGATTACCAAGCGCGTTCACGAGAATTCCGAAGTTCCGATTAGATCCTCATGTAGACCTGGTAGGGAATCTAYATGGAGGTTCTTCTATTCCGGACTCGTGACATCTCTGTTCTTCGTGAGGTATTCTCAAATGGTATCTTAGACCTCTTACGATCCTCAACACTAGGATSGTATAATACATATATATAAACATTACCTTACTGAAGGTACGTAGGAAAGGTATGTCCATCCATTCTGAGGGAGCATCATGYGTATGTATGTTTCCTTTGTAGTAMGTAGGTATGCTTCCTTTACAGTACGTACGTTGSACTCATTTACCAAAGACATATCACTGAAAAACTTGGGATACTTTGTYGTAACTGTGTGACTGACACAGTCCCACTCAATAATKTCATTGACACTGAACTTCTTGAAATTCCTACCTTGGATTTTGTTGCGCAAAAACTTACACAGAGAATTATCATCTTCYRAATATTTCAGGCGGTTGTCATGAATGTCTTTCAACTCTTGTTTGGATATGAAAAACACTACTATCCTCAACTTTCGTAGAACTTGCTTGGAATCCATCAGCATTTTCAACAATGCTTCAGACAATGGTACATAGAGAGGGAAGTCATCTGCCAATGAGGATGTCTTGAGAAGGCCTTTCAGAGTTGCAGGAAACCCAAGAGAAAACTTGTTCCCAAGGCATAAAACACAGAGGAATGAGGAAGGGGTGAAATTTTGCAAGAGGATGCTTGACAAAATCATGTTATTGACTGGATCCCAAGTAACCGTATCAGTTTACCACATGGGGTCAATGGTGTTGTTGTTGGAGTACACCCTCAAATTAAAGTGGTTTCCAGAAACACCACAGTTGACACCCAAACAATTTTTGCACCTAGCAGTTTCAGTTTTCTTGAATTTGGAAACAAGTTCATTACTTTCTTAATATAGTCTTCCTATTTCTGAGRGCCCRTACCATTCTGATGACCCATACCATACACTTCCTGAACAAAAAATTGAATCTTTTCCTTGCTTCCTGAAAAGATGAAGTTCCTATCCATTGCCGCTATGATTACAGCAAGATTTGCAACTTCCAGAGGGTTACWGKCATCTTTGTGCATTTCAACCCCCCATTGGTTTCGGCATAGGTCAAAGGTGGAGTAATAGTGAAGGATCCAGTTCCATTGAGGGTACTCAGAATAACCTGCTTAGATGGGATGGTCTTACCATTAAGTTTGACATCAATCATGTAGTAACATAAGATTTTTTTGTGGTATTTAATGAGCATGAAGAGGACAGATTGATTACTATATGGTAGACAAATCTCACCCTCCTTAGTGCTATCAGACCCAACAGTACAAATCAGGCCGTTCCCTGTGACAGGGTGAGTCAGTGATGCAACAATGAAGCAACTGTCGTGAAGAGAGGAGAGAAAGTCTTTGTAGAAAAAATTGTGGGGAAGGACAGTGGGATGGCAGTAGTGTGTACAAGAAATATCAGAAAATGCAATACTATCCAAAGACAAATGAAAGTCTTGCCACATCTTGCACAACAACCCAGCGAAAGAAGGGTTACAAATGGGCATCAAACTCCTAATGAGAAATGAGTGGTTCGAGAACATGTTCCACAGATAAGGGCCAGATATTTCCATACCAGCAGCACAAAATATGTGTGTGAATTTAATTTTATGGGCACGGGAAAAACAAAACACCATAATACCAGTTTGTTTGACATACATCTATTATCAGCAGTAGTACTATCAAGTAAGATTATCCTGAAGCTCAGGTTTCATACAAATTCTGTCTCCAATCTGTAGAGGAGCTATTGTACCCCTTTAACATATTGTTTCTTATTGGGAATAAAACAGAATTGGGTTTCCATTGAAAAGACTACAGTAACTGAAATTTGAAGCAGTACGAGTACGTAATGCAGATACAACGGCAACAATAATGAGTTTCTACATCCAAAAAATCAAAATTAGAATGCACCATTAGAGGGTTCATT